TTAAAACAATAATGTCAAATTGCATATAAAAAAAGAAATGTAACTATATGTTACAAACATGTCAACATGACCTGTGTGGACGTTACAGCAGCTTATTCCCAAGCCAGACTATCATCTAGGTAGTCTTTTATTTTATAATAAGCTTTACTATAAAATTTATCTTTAATGACATTTTTAAATTTATTTAGACTCAAATTTTGGATATGGCTGGGAATCTTATTGTAAAAGCGTATTGTAAAACTCTGACATCTAAACGAACCACTTATTTTCTTTAGTCTAGTAGTGGGAACAACATATTTGTCTTGACAACTTAGCTCTGTTACGAATACCATACTGCAGCCGATGTTTTCTAATAGAGAGTACGTTCTACTATTCTACCCTCTCGGGAATATAAAACAGTGATGAAATGTGTACATATATATATAAAGACACTTATGTAATAAAAACAAAAACAAATTAACTAACACAACATGTTGTTTTCCTCATACGAAATGTGTGACAAAACAAACAAAAGAACTGCAATAAAATTAGATTTATAGTCAAATAGATATTAAGTTTAATATCGCAGACTATAGAAATGTATTTAAGTGTCATTATTGTTCAAAATAGTTTACATAAATATCTATTTGGGCGCGGGGAAGTGGAAACAGATAGGTATCTGATTTAAATTCTATTCAAATATTGGCTGAGCAATTCTGAACGTGTCTGGGTGGGCGTTGGGGGTAGGCGGGTACTTTGTTTACTAGTTCCCTGTAAAAGATAGGTAGAGGTTTAATTTTAGTTACCCTAGATTTAAAAAAGGTTTTCTAAGCACCTTATTTTTAGCACAAGTATTTGTGTCCCAAGAGGCACAGGTTCGCACTCGTATGTAATTATATAACTTATATTAAATCGCCGTTTATGAAATAGTTTTTATTCATTTTATTCAGTTTTATGTAGAAACTCAGACGGTTTTTTTTAAGGGGGGGAAATCATCGAATGACTGCTCCCGCCTGGTGAAGCGGGAGGGAGTGTCAGACTCTTACTGACTAAAAACCACCCCGTTCCTTCTCCTGCACGTCGAATCGGAGCCCCGGTTACCCGTTAGGTTCTCCACGACTCCGAATCGGCATCGGCCCTATTGGGCCCCATCTGTGGTGGTCTGATGGCTCTTTGAGGCGCGCGCGGAACTCAGAGGGTACTTTAACGGACTTGGGAATTGGAAACCAAATTTGAAACACGAACTTAACAGTGAAGCTTGCAGGCGTTCTTTTTTTAATTATAGGTACTACATCTGAAGAAGCTCTTTATGTCATCGTACGCCCTGGACTCACTGGACTGTATAAAACGTTGCTAGGATTTGGTACCAGTGCCAAAAAACATTTTAATGTTGCTGTATTTTATTTACTTTTTGTTTCACTTGCCAAATTCTATCAAAGAATTCTCTCTCAAACAATTTGTTGAGTAAAATCATGTCCATTAGCATTAGCAAAGGGAGTTGGGGCGCGTAACGTGGTAACGTCACAATTTCGCTCCGACAGATAGAAATTCATTTAGATGCTAATGTCCGCCGGCGGCCATGTACTAATGAAAAATAAAAATAACGACACGCCATTTTGGAATCGGATATTAACGGCGGTTATGCGAAATTCTTATATAAAAGTCCAATCACAAATGTATTGTGAGGCCTCCTTGAGGAAAAGTTCACGTAAGCGTAAAAGAAAAACCAATAATTGGAAAACTGTGGGAAAGATTGAATATTCTACTTTACATATGAAGCAAAGATCTTCAATCTAAGTAATCCATACCCAGATTAGCCTGAAACCTTAAACGTCCCAAGTAAATATACTTAGAACGATGTTTACCCTTCCATTTTGCATTATACCTCTATAGAATACATAAAACTCTTTCAAATTAGTGATAGGAATATTGGATGAGCCCAAAAAGGCATGCAGAGTAAGCCACAATGGATTTACCTCGAAATGACTTCTGATTCAATCAATTTCAGGGTTCGTGTACACACAATACAAAGATTATTATTCTGCAAACATGTAATCTGGTCTTGGGGTCTATAATTAAATATTGCGCGGAAATATCAACTTTTAATACTATTCGAATTACAATAAGGCATATGTGATGGGAATGGGATGAACCGATAAATTAATTTACCTATTAGTGTTCTTAAAGTAAGACGGCATCTAGAGACAAAGGCGGAAATCTCATTTAAATGTGATTGAAATACCACGAATAAGAAAAATATTAGCTTGGGACTTATTCGTTGTTATATTTTGCGTTTTATAGTCGCCCCGAGCGTGAGGTAGAATTTCAATTACTGGTTTAGAACATTTGATACTTATTTTTAGACACACACTTCGAAAAAGTGTGGGAGAGCCTTGCTTCGGCACGAATGGGCTGGATGGGCCGGAGTGATGCCACGACCTCACAGAAAACCGACGTGAAACAACGCTTCCGTTGTGTTTCGTGGTGTGAATGAGGTTATCGGAGCATCGGTACGGAGGTTACGAATAATATAACATCTTGCAATGCATCTAAATGTACTGTGTTCAGCAATAAATATATTTGAATTAGAATTTTAAAATCCAATTACCCTCCCCCTCCCTAATCTCCTCAATCCCTGAATCTCCCACAATCTTCAAATTCCTAATCCCCAAAAGGCCGGTAACGCACTTGTAGCGCCTCTGATGTGCCGGTTGTTCATGGGCGACGCCGATTCCTTACCATCAGGTGATCCGTCTGCTCGTTTACCGGCTTAAGCCATAACAACACCTTAGAATAATAGTAGGTAAATACCTAATGTACAGAGAAATAAAGCTAATGTATTATACCTAGTTTGATGTTTATCTAAATAATGCAGCGATGTCTTATAGTAAGTAGATACTTAATGACATCAGATTGTTCACAAACAGAAGACAGACTGGCTGCCGTTAAAACCAATGTTTCTAAAAAGCATTTAAAAGTTTCCTAATCTCGGGATTGCGACTGCTTCCAATCAATGTTCTTAAGCCCCTGAAGCGACAATCTTTAACTAAGTAATCCGGGATAAGGTCACATCTTATCAAGTCGCCGGCGCTGCCAACATTAATGAGTTTTGATGACTTTCTTGACAAGGACTTCATTTTTATTTTAATGTTTACGGCGCGTGAACTAATTGTTGTTGTGATGTTATTTTTGTCTAGTAATGGGTCAGCTTTAAGTCACTATTTTGCTTGGTACCCACGGCTACACATCGAGCTTTACATAACCAGTATAAACTGAACGTTAAATGTGCGGAAAGATGATGCGACGCGACACCAGGATAAACTGGTTTTGTATAGATTGATGTGTGGCCATGTGTACCTACCTAGGCGATGATGCGACCAGAGGAATTATCGACTTTTTTAAAAGTACTAAGCTCTCTCTTTATTTCGAGTCCGCATCCGTTTCAAAATAGGTCTGTTGTATACTCTTTATCAATCAATACATAGTATAAAACAAAGTCGCTTTCGCTGTATGTCCGTATGTATGCTTAGATCTTTAAAACTACGCAACGGATTTTGATGCGGTTTTTTTTAATAGATAGAGTGATTCTTAAGGAAGGTTTGTATGTATAATACATGCATATTGCACCCGTGCGAAGCCGGGGCGGGTCGCTAGTAGTTATATAAAATACCGTGATTGTTAAAATCCTACGTAATCTTTAGTTTTTTTTTTATGAAGAGACAATTTCATAGCGCACCATATTTTGAGTTCGATGGAGTAACTGGGTAATTTACGGATTTGAAACAAAAGCGATTAATTAGGTAAATAGGTAATGTAGGTACCCTGGGAAATGAACTTAATTAAAAACTCGTGTATTGTTTACGTAGATAAAAGAACGCACCTAACAAGGATGCCATTATAATTGTAAGCATTATTACAAGAGACGAACTTACACATATCCCTAAGAATTATTATTTACCTAAAAACTGCAGTATTTTATAAGGATGTGATTTATATGAATACCTAGTGTATTATAATATCCATATAAAAATTATAATTCGTCACATCTCATCTCTTCATAAACGAACAGCTATGCAAGTGATATGCAACTGTCACCGACGCCATGTTGTCGGTATTACGATTCAGGAATTCAGGATGAATAGGTATTTCGTTTCCAGCTTATTTCAAGAATGTAATAAAATTAATGTTCATGAGACAAAAATGTTAATCGGGACGAAATAATGTCGTCTGTCTACATTATTATGTCAATTAACTGTTTTACAACTTGATGAATCAAGTGAACACAATAATATTTTTATCTTTTCAGTCATTACTTTAGAGTACCCTGAAAGTTACTTAGTTATCATAAATAAATAATAAATAATACTGATTTGTAATCGATCTAGAACTATCTTAAGATATTGAATTAAACATCTCATTCCAGGTCCCTGTTTTTTATAACGACGATCTAGCACATTTCGTAATTGAAAACGACTTTCCAGCTGTAATTAAAGAACTCTCATACAAAATAATATCGTCTTATTTTCCCAGAAAGTGAGCTGACGACCGAAGCCGGGCGCTGAAGGAAAAATGTCTATGAGCCATAACTCATAGACATTTCTCATCGAAATGTTAGTTAATGGACATCTTTATTGATCAATGAAGTACTCCAGTCTAATCAATGGCCATCAAACGGGATGCCGTTAAGATTAAAGGTCATGAGACAGGCGCAATATCAGTCGAATACAGGTACAAGCAATTGTTATCACACAAACCATCAGGCTATAAATAGAACGAACGCTGTCATATCCACCGACTACGTCTCAAATATTATAATCGATCGATCACACAACACATAGCTTAATTGAAAGTAAATTACAATTATGACAGATGAAATCAGATTCATCACTCCAATGGAAACCTTCGACATTAAAAAAAGAATCATCACCCATTAATTGAAATTATAAACATTTTCCGTTAAATCCAAAGAAAAATTGGAACAAAACGAATTTTCAAGGAAATGCTTAGAGTTTTCCACTTACCTAATATTACATGGTTCTCCAAAATGCACTTGGATTTTCCCGTAATTAAGGATGCAATGACGTCAAACAGTACGCGGCACTGGGGAGGCACAGACTGATTTTGACAGGTGTCAGAGAGGGCGCACCGCGGGACGCATGCGCGGGAAGCCAGTGGAAAATTATCGGGGAGAGCGCGAAACCGTGGGTGGAAGGGAGGCGCTCGATAAACTAAAGGATATGACGTGGCGCAGGAAATTAAAACCTCAATTGAAACTGGATTTTTGCTTTATTTGCTAAAGCTTATGATTGTGTTATTGCAGGGGATTTGCTGGTACTGATGCACTTTTATGTAGGTACTTAAAAGTAGCAAGAGATGAATTGTTTATAACAAGCATAATTATGACAAGGTATAATCAACTTTGTACATTTCTGCTACAAGTTACCTTTGCTGTTTCTTTTTCGATGAATCGTAAAAGCGATTTGATAGAGGAGCCTTGGGATCGATTTCCGAGTCAAAAGTCTAGAGTTTGATACCCGATACACCTATGTCCATATCATCCTATTAATCTGCTGAAAATTGGTTGTTAATATTGCATTAATATTTGGTAGGCTATATCATGTTATAAACAGAAATTTTATTGTGATACTGATAACCGTCTCAAATAAAACAACGACGTGGGGGATTTACAATATAATTTGCAGTTTAAACATATTTAATTATAATACAAATGCTTAGTTTATACTGTACGTGGTTGTGTGTAGCAGGCGTTACAAGAGCCGAAGGGTATCTGAGGGGAGTAGCAGTCTGACGGGCAGACTGGACAGTCGGCGGCGTACGCCTTAGGGTAAGCACAGTCCGTCGCGGTCGACCACACGGAAGGGCTGGCGTGCTGTAAGTTATAAGATAAATTGGTTAATTACAGCTGCAGGTGCACAACTTGACAACATACTGTTAGATTAGACGTAATGTACGAATGGATTAAATCCCCGAGTTTTTGAGTAATTTCCGACAATTGAGTTTTTAAACCTCATATCTCCAGATAATACTAATGATAATTGTTACTCAGAAATTTACCTTGATAAAGCTAGCCAGGACACATTGCATGATGTCGTAAGCGGGGCAGTTGAGGAACACTCCCTGGGCCCGGAGTTCGGAGGCCAAGCAGAAGGCCTTCACATGCTGCACGGCCTGGGCCCACTCAGGGTGCTCCGTCTCGTACTGGTCGAAGTATGCCCTCACTTTCGCCTTGTCTATTGCTCCACGTTTCGACCATTTCAATTCACGGAAGATGCAGGTCATTTTTTCACACTGGAAAGAGAATAATGAAGGATAGAGAAATTATTAAACGATCCTAATCCAAAAATCGGTATCAATTGATCTTTGATATAAATAATTTCGGTGCTTCCATGCTCATAGTCATGATCCAAAGTCGTACCTAAGTTGAGTACACTATGAGTACATATATAAATATGCTGGGTTTCATAACACAACTGGATCGTGCACAGACGAATACCTTTTTTATGGGATAAGCCGGACAGACGGATCACCTGATGGTAAGCAGTCGGCGTCGCCCATGGATACGTGAAACACCAGAAGCGTTATAAATGCGTACTTTTTTTATGGCATAAGCCGGTAAACGAGCAGTCGGATCACCTGATGGTAAGCAATCGGCGTCGCCCGTGGACACCTGGAACACCAGTGGCGTTACAAGTGCGTTACCGACTTTTTCGGGATTAGTAATCCGATTCCGAATTTTTGGGGATTCAGGGATTGGGGAGATTGGGGAAGGGAGGGGGGTAATTGGGCTTCCGGTAACCTCACTGACATGACGAAACACGACGTAAGCGTTGTTTCACGTTTCATGTCAGTTTTCTGTGAGGCTCCAGTCGAGCCCATTTATGCCGTAGCATGGCTGATGGCTCTCCCATACTTGAACGTAGCCTCGCGTACATCTTTCAGCATAATACTAGTACGACATTGCAGAACTCACCTCTGTGAATTGACTGCCACATTTGGTAGACACTTCAGGGGTCACCACTCGAGGATTGTTCAGGCACCTGTATATCTGTAAAAGGACATATTTAAATCATATTATATCCTGGTGTGTTCTGCCATAAAATATTTTTAAGAAACAGTAAAATTAGGGATAGTTATGTGGGTTGGTAATTGTCGTTGTTTATTATGGAAGTTGTGCAACTCACAGAACATATAACGAAGGTATGTTCTGTGGTGCAACTGGTCTTAGGTTCGTTTCCCGAACAATTATCATTTTGGGTCTGCGTATAGTGTAATTTAGCTCACGGTAGAAAATCTTAGTGTGGAACAACATTTTATTTTCTTAAAAAATAATGTTCCTACTACCTTTATCCAATCTATCTATAAGTCTGGAAGTAGTTATGTAGTTTCTAGATAGTAGTTACTTACGTTATCCGGTGTCACGCCGCAGTAAGTTCCAGGGTTGGCATTTGGGGTTCCAGGACTACTATTTGGCGCCCCGTGGCATGCCTAAAATAAAAAATAAAAACAAGAAGTATCGTAGCCGCTCTTAAAGGATATCAGTTTCGTAAAGTTAAACTTTTTGTTTTATTGTGATGGACTTTCCAAAGGTCGAATTACGAGGTCACATCATCAACTTCTAACGAACTATATTTTTACAGACTTCAAAAAAAAGAGGAGGTACTATTACAGGCTGATTGTTTTTGACAATCCATAACTTATACGTGACGTCATCATTTAACTAACTATATCTTTGACAATTCATATCTTATAGACAATCAAGTGTGGGAGAGCCATACTTCGGCACGAATGGGCCGGCTCGACCGAAATGATACCACGGCCTCACAGAAAACCGACGTGAAACAACGCTTGCGTTGTGTTTCGTCATGTGAGTGAGGTTACCGGAGGCCCAATTACCCCCCTCCCTAGTCTCCCGAATCCCCGTATTCTCCACAATCCTCAAATTCCCAATTCCCAAAAGGCGGGTAACGCACTTGTAACGCCTTGGTTTTTCGGGTGTCCATGGGCGGCGCCCTTTTCTTAGCATCAGGTGATCCGTCTGCTCGTTTACCGGCTCATGATATAAAAAACAAAAAAAAAATAGACAATGATCTAAGTACAATAAATTAACGTTAGACACTGTTAGCTAATCAAGAGATGTTCTTATATAGGACATAGTAATTCGTATAAGTATATTACCAATTAAGAGTCGGGTAGGTACCACTTAACGCTATTAGCACAGCACATCACGTAGGTAGCAAGCTATATAATCTCAGTATGTAAGATCTAGTCACCAATATAAATAAACTTCGTACAGGTGAGTTCATGACTTATCTGGTAAGGTGACACAATGTGTAAAATGTTATTAAAAGTTCCTGATAGGCACGTAAATTAATTCATTTCGTTTACTACTGTTTCGCCCCCAACACCGATTGATTCGGTGTCATAAGTAGGTAAATAATATTTCAGTACTTAAAAATGTATGCTTTTCCCGTGAATCATTTTACAGTCTATCCTATAGATAAAGTATTTAATGTTTCCGTGATCTATATTCTAATCGAAACCGCATTTATATTTACCAATTACCTACTTTCCTAGTACCTACTTAGTCTTTTTTGTAGAGGCAGATCCCGTGTTGGTCCTAAGTAAGTATTGTTTGTTAAGTATTAGGTAGGTACATACATGTTTTCAAATCCACGAACGACAAGCGCCAAGTAAAAACAAGTGTAATAAAAAGGTCTTTATTGGGTAAGCAGATACCTCTACCTCTTCAAAGATTTAACACACATAACTTCATGTCTTTTATCCCGAAGGGGGAGGCAGAGGTGCACATTACTGCTCTTGATGCCAGTATACAATGTACAATACCCCCTTTACCTTATGAGTCCCATGTAATAGGGGGTGAGCCTATTGCCATATACCGGGCGCATTTCTAGACTCCGTGCTACTCACAAATATATTAAAGAAGGTGCTACTACTAAGATTTTTTTTTAAATCCCAGTAATACTTTGCCCGACTGGGGAATCGAATCCGAGATCCCTTACCCGGCAGTCGAACTTGCGACCTCACGGCCAATGAGGCAAGAAGCAAAGATTTAAGAATGTAAATTAAATTAATTTTGCGCTTTTTCTAAGTTCGATACAAACCTACCCTACATTACGTACATTTGATATTTTGAAGAGCTTACACACGTTCACGGTAATACCAAAAGGAAAAGTTACTGAGTGACAGTGATGAGACACGATCTATCAAAAGATTGCCCCAGTTTAATGGAAGATGTTCGTACACCGATAGGATAATGATGATGGAACATTACCTTCATGACTGAATGACTGGAACGAACTAGTCATATGTATAGCTAGGTACGTAGGAAGCCACAAAATATGTTCTTCATTTCACCAAAAACTTTATAGAGCCCTATAACCTATTATTAATTAGAAAATAAGGTACCTAATTAAGTACCTAGTTAAAGTAGAGTAGGTACTTGATTGAAGTTTGGTTTAAATAGTATGAAACTGATAACGCACTTAACTTATCTCTGAAGTTAAATATGTGTTTACAAAACATGTATTAATGATATCTCCGTACAATAACCTCGCTATCAACGTCCACCTATCTATTTTGCTTAGTGCTTGTAAGTATTCATAGTAATAATTTAGTACCAAATAGATCTCTTCGATCAACAATACCTACTGTTGTTCGAAGATCTAAATGGTCCAAATCCATGACTATACTAAGATTTGAAACTATTTTCATTGATGCAATCTAGCTAAAATCCAAGGTGAGGATGTAATCATGTAGATATGTATGTAGTAATAATAATAATGCAAAAACGCTAGACCGCATCTAAATATAATTAAATTAAATACCGTGTCTACTTATATTTACGGAAGAATACAAAACTTAGTACCTATAGCTATTTTTTCATTAACTGGTCAAGATCGGTCAGCGGTGACCGCTCTCCACTTACACCATTACAGACCTTATTTCCGATGATTAGAGACTACTTTTGTATGAACAAATGTTGTAGATTTTTCATAATCGGACATTAAGAAGTTAACATAGTTACATACAATACACCTGATATATGTAGCAAAATTATTTTAAAAGACGTAAGTACCTAGTAAATATAGTCTATGAAAAACTATCCATGAAATAACTAACTTACCACGAAACCCAAAGCAAGGAACACACAGAGCTTAAACATGTTGTATAACTCTCGTCTCCAACGGCAGTATTAAGACTGGAGCTAACAAAACAAGCTAGTAATACTAATCAGTGGTCACTCTTAAGGTCAGCCGGCTAAGGTCACGATCACATAATCGTAGGTTGGAATAATAACTCGTTTTTGGACCTCATATTTAACTGGGAATATTTTGATAGATGTGTGGACTGAAATTGAATGATCGAGTGAAAAATAGTGTTATTAGAGAAAGGTGTGGATTGAAAGATGATGTAGTGACAAGAATTGAAAAGGAAATGTTACGCTGGTTTGGACATGTAGAACGGATGGATGAAAGTAGAGAAACGAAAGAATATAGAGCGGATATGAAAGGGGCAGTCGGTAGAGGGCGCCCTAGACGAACATATACCAGATTGGCGGTATATTAAAGAAGGGCCAAATTAAAAGTACCCTTAACCGACGAGCATGCATGAAATGATCGATGACTGTTGATGAAGCAAAAGAGGTATGTAGAAATCGTATTAATTTGCGTTCCATAGTCTCTGCCTACCTCCATGGGGGACAGGCGAGAAGATATGTATGTATGTAATGTGTAGGTATAATACGCGCGAACAGCTAAACTAGAAAATAATCTCTTGTAAAGTTTCTGTTGATACGTTTATTTACTAACTATTACCTGCCGTTTTGCCCGCGTGGTCGTAGGAAAAAACGTAGCCTTTATCACTCTCCTGCTTCCTAACCATCACCTCAAGAATCATGTCACAAAAACAACGAGTGGCATATTCGATTCCCGCACGGAACAACATCTGATATAATCCACAAGTTATATATTGTTCCGCGTCTGAATGTGATGTGTAATTGTGTAGGTATGCCTGTAATCGCACCTATTGACTAATCTATTCAAAGTGAATTTCAATTCAAAACCTTCATAGTTGGCTTAGTAGGTTCAAGCAAGATTTAAAATTCAATTGAATTTTAAATCTTTTTTCAATGAATTAAGTATTCATTGAAAAAAGGCACATGAATTCTACAATATTTAGAGAATCGAATAAATTCTCTAAACTACAATATAAGCAACAAATAAGTGAAAGATAATAAATTAAATGTTGCTTAGTCTTGGCGTGTTGTGCCTGAAACAAATTGAAGCTACAAAATAAGCTGAAAGCAGTCGCCCAACGGCTTATTGACTACTCCGCAAGGTGGCGCTGGCAACAAAATTTTTGCAATAAAACATGTTTGTTTTTGTAAATAAGTATTAATTATTCTTAAATAAATCGTGTAACGTTAAGCTATAGTCGGGTTTTAATTGCTGTGGATAATTAACTTGAATACATAAAATCGAATAGCTCATTTTGTAATCCAGTTTGGCTTCAGGCATTTTGGCTCAGTTGAAACAATAAAAGTGGTGATCAAATTATTATGTTAAATGCTTTATTAAAATCACACAAATACTTGTAAAATTCAATTATTCATCCCATTATTATTTATATTTGTATTTCAATTGTCTAGTGCTTTTTATTTATGCAACATTATACTTCATAATTATAAATCTTACAAGTCTAAATTGATTTTTATTTTAACTGATATAAAAATATATTTTAATAAAAGTAAAACTAATTGTGATAATGACTTAAAGTTTGAAATACAGATTTTCATTTTTATGGGTAGCTTGCTTTGTAAAATTCATTCATGCAGTATTATAACGACCTCTGTCGACACTACAAGGAAATAGTAACAAAGATTAAAATATTAGTGTAAGTAGGTACAAAACAAACTTTTAAACTACGACGGTAATGGATAAAATAATGAAAGATATCTTAGAGATTCGAGATTCACTATCTTTATTTTAATGCCCCCAATTACTCTTATTAATTGACTTATTTTTTTAATAATAGTTTGTTAGCCAAACCATAAATAATATAGTCCTAACCATTTTGATATCAAAAAACAATATACCTGTACATTTAAAACTATAAAATTTTAAAACTAGGTACATACTTAGCAAAGGAAATAAAAGGTAAAAGAAAACAAAAATGATCATTAACAAAGAGCATCAAAAAATTCGTACGGTAGTTTCAGATTTCACTTTTTTAATTGATTGAATTTACTTTAGTTCTACAAAGTGCAAGGTGATAGATAAATTAGCCCTGAATATTACTAACTAAATATTTTGATTACGAAAATAATAGAATCGCTAATGCACGATATTTAGTAAGTAATAGGTGTGAATACAGCGACTAAGTTCTTTTTTACTTCGAGCAAATGAGTGTCGCGTCTGTAGACTAAGTATTATCTCTAGTGATATTCTTTGTTCTGATTGACGTTCCATTCCAAGATGGCAGACATGCCGCTTGAGCCATGATAGTATGGAATCGTAGGATTACGATTTTTAGGTGTGTCTTTCTAAATATCGAACTAGAATGTCTCCCGAATTCTTGACTAATGTCTTATACGAATGTTCTGACGATGTGAAACAACTTGCTCGCGTTAAGTGCGCTAGTTTTAGGTAACGTTTGTGCCGGGACATATGTAATAAAACGGTGATCGAAATTGTGTTTTTCGGTGTGTCGTGTACGATAAGTATTCTGGTTTGATGTTAAATTAAAATGTGGAATATGATGTGCGACGTGATGCCCACTATATCGGAGGACAGTATCAGTCAAAGGAGTTCGCAGTTATCCGGTGAGGATGCGAATTTTGAGCAGTTGATGGTGTCTATGCTCGATGAGCGAGATAAGCTGGTGGAAAGCCTGCGGGAGACGCAGGAGCGACTGGGAGACTCGGAACTGCGGCTCAAGGAGGTGGAGAAAGAACGAGACTCGCTGCATAGACAGATCGCCGCCAATTTGCCTCAGGTCAGTGACTTGAATGCTAATGCCTAGTTGCTTATGTAAAAACGGATATTATTTATATTGCGACTAGTGCTAGTTACTGTTACAGTAATACAGACAGGTTGGGGTTGTGTTCAAGTTCATGTCCAATACATTTTCTATTCTTTTTAACTCACCTGTTCTTGTGTATGGTTTGAAGAGTCAAATTGGAACTTTCGTGAGTTAATGCCTGAATGTTAGTGAATTAATCTTGTAGTAGTCATTGATTACTAGTTGAACAATAGTGGCAGTCTATTGTATAACCAGATTGCACCAGACAGTAGTGACTGCACCAAACAATAACCTTATTGATGTGCTATTGTCAACTTTAGTGCTCCATAATTAATTAGGACAACTGATTGAAAGATTATACCACTGTAGGCAGTCATTGTATTGTGTTTGGACATCTGCAAGCTGTTATTCCATTAATCACGTACAGAATTATTAAGTCTGTTATTACCTAAAAGAATTTTCTGTCATGTGAAATGGTTTTCAGTGTTATAATAAGTAGTTCCACTAAGATAAACAAACAGAAGTGTTAAATTGAGGTTCACTATGTAGGTGATAATATATTAACTCAATTAAAGAACATGTTAGATGCTGAAATATAGTAGTTAGTGTAATACAAATTAAACTGTCAAACACCAAGCGGTCACCGGTGACCACAACCTATTGTTCTATAATTGTGTCTATAATGACGGTACTCGACGAGTTAATTTCTATATGCAAAAGCAATAGAATCAATAATTTTCATGTTAACACTATCATGAAAGATTTTGATAAGTTTAATTTGATTTTAAACAACTTCATTCAAGTTGGTAGTAATAAATAATATTGTTCTTTATCTTAAATATTATTGTGTGCTCTGGCATTGTAACAATGAATATTGTTACTGCTTAGACCGTGTCAAGGAGAGTAGCAGACGTAATGCTCAGCCAACGGAACTGAATGAAATAAATGTGCATTCTGTTACTAAGATGAACTATAATATTTGTTGTGACCTCCTTTTCTACCTGTTTTTCAGATATTTCACTAGAATTTTGTTTTAAATATTATTCATTAATTTGTAGAGTAATCAAATCAATGACATTGATTTTGTTAAAGATTTTTCTGTAGTATTCTCAAATAGTTACTTAAAATTTTTATTGTAATATTTGGCTATTTATCCCTGGAAATATTATCTGTTATTATTACTTTTGTGATATGTTATTATAGTCAACTGACTAAATATCACTGACTAAACATCTTGGACTTGTGCGAAGTTTCGCACAAGTCCAAGATGTTATGTTTAACAGTCTACTAACACATCCATTTCTTTTTTCATTGTATCATACATTATACTATTACTTAGGTCATTATCTTTATATTCTTAATAGGTACAGAACCAATGAAATAACAAACATTTTTTACAGTCGTTGTGGTTTTGATAACTTCCATTGTTTCACATTGTAGGCATCCCAATTATTTATTGTAATAAATAACAAATGACTGTCTACTATTTATGTCATATATAACTATTATAGTTAGTTTTCTATTACTTGTCAGCTCTTAGCACTTGTCGGCATTTACAAACACAAACTAGCTGAATACAAATATTGATACTAGATCAGTTATCACTCACATTATAGATAAAATCTCTGATATTACAGCCTCAAGACTAATATCATTGTGTACAATCTACTACTAAAGGAAAGTTGAAATTTTCTTTAAAACTTGTACAAGTTTTTGAATAAAATATGTATTACTTATCAAAGGGATAAACTATCATGACATAAGGAAGATCTATCCTATTGACCTATCTGAATGGCATTGGGCGACACCTATGTTCAGCAGTGGACTTATTGTATCTGATATGATGAGAGATCTAGAAAGTTACTGTAGACGGCATGCTAATTAAAATTTCATTGTAACACCTATAATACCATGTTTTAATGCAAATAAATGAATTTGAGTTTGAATTAGGTACTTAAGAATTTAAATATCAAGAAAATTACAAATAGATAGAAGAAAATTACGAATATATTGCTAATTAATTTAATAATTTATACAACACATCTAAATATTTTCTTAGAAAATTTCAGCATTATCCTTTATTGACCCTGGCTACTTATCTCTATTGTTGACTGTACAACATATATTCAGTGATAATTATCATGGTCCTCCGTAATAGAACAGAATCCTACTCATAACTACCAAAACAAAATCATGCTATGTAATTCAAACCAGGCTCAAATTGAGTGTCAGTAGAGCTTTGCTTGTTATTAACACAGCAATTGGTCTATAAAACATTGATGTTTTGCATCAATTTTGCATATCTTCATCAAAACTTTATTAACTCGTTGAGTACCGTCATTATAGACACAATTATAGAGTCGTGGAGAACCTAACGGGTAACCGGGGCTCCGGCCCGACGTGCAGGAGAAGGAACGGGGTGGTTTTTAGTCAGTAAGAGTCTGACACTCCCTCCCGCCTCACCCAGGCGAGAGCAGTCATTCGATGATTTTCCCCCCTTAAAAAAAAAGACACAATTATAGAACAATAGGTTGCGGTCACCGGTGACCGCTTGGTGTTTGACAGTTTAAACACAAATCTTATTATCAACAACTGACTACTGGAAGAATGATATTTGCTCAGTAGAATAATTTAAAGAGCCTAACTACGAAAGTCATAATCTGTCCCTTGAAGACTTAACTTTATACCTAAATTCGGTTATAACCAAAGTCACATTGTCAAGGTTATTGAACAGATTCGCAAATACTTCGATTTTTCCAATTGCTAATTATTTCATCAGAATGACGTAAACACCACCAAAAACAATGTTTCTTCGCCCACGATTCCGTTTACATCTGTTGTGATTTGCATCACTTTGTTTTGATTCAATTTCGATACAAAATAAGCAAGGTTCCTTGTTGCCTGTTTTGTTTGACGGTCGGAGGCAAGAACGCTGCACCGAACTTTACCCTCCACAATTCGGGAGATAGCTCACCTTCGGACCCCTGCGCGAAGAACTTTTAACATAAACTTTCCGTTGACGTCTAAAAAATCGTGTACCTACTCTGCAGGAACATATAGGAGAGAAGGGAAACGTTTTAAGGTAGTCACATGTTTGTGGATCATACCTGTGTGCGTGACATATATCGTTTAGCTCATCTATTCACCAGTCAAGCGTAGTCATTACAGCATCATCTCCCCTAAACCGTTCATTGAAGCGGTGTGCCGTGTGACGGAGCACTCGTCTGCAATTCAATGTTACTGCGATCGATTTCACTCTCCTGTTATCTATTAAATGTTCAAAAATAGTTAGGAGTGGCGTTACATTTTTTTATCATCATTAAACAAGTCTACATGTTCGGGCAATTGGGTTATCACCGAAATCCTAGGTTATAAAAATATTCACTGACCGATATGGTAAAATACCTAGTTAGGTACTTACCTACGTTGGAAGTGTTCGCAATTTGTTGGGTTCTTACATTTTTCCAGATGTTCCAATTCTGTATCCAATGATAGATAAGTTCCGATTTACAAAGATCTAGCTGGTAGAGTTACGACGTCGGATTCATTTGTCAGGAAGTCGTGTTCCGCTAAACAATGAATGTCGCCTTCAAGCAGACACTTATAGCTGCTCTCGTCCGAGTATCACACCACTTACCAACTTCCTTAACCTTCACGTTTTTAACTTAACAGCCTCTGTAAGAATTTAAAAAAGGAAAATTACGATTTTATATTACTTTTATTCAAATGCAATTTACGGCCATGTAAATGATCCATCACTTACGACTTCCCCGTAAATTTTAAGAGACCCCGCACGGTCGCACTCACACCAAAATTCGCTCAGTATTTTTATATTCGACCAAATAATTGTGTTGAGTTTATACGAAGTAATTTGCTAAGGGAATGACTAGAGTTTTCCTCGCAGTGATTTATGAATGTATCCGTAGCGCAATTAGGCTGGATTGTCAGCGATTTTGCATGAATTAAGCAAGCCTAAAGTACCTGAAGGTAATTCGGTGGAATTTTTCACTAAAGAATGTTGCCAAGCCGTGAGGGGTTTCAAAATGGAGTGTTATTAACTTTGGAATGGTTTAAAAAGGTTTTAGAAGGTGTCGAGGCAACTTTGTTTAATGAAGATATTTATGATTATGGGCATAGTTTGGGCTCTGTCATAAAAACTTTTTAACAGCTTTCCGAGCGCTATTATTAGCTATGTCATGTTGGCATGGAACAAGCTTTGTGATTTGTGTTTCATGTTACGTTCGTGTCTTCTTCCACACGAACTTACGTATATAAGTATAAGAAACCGCTATAACCTGAACTGTGGTTATTGTTACATAGCTTGCAATTTAAGTAATAGTGTACCTCACTGAACCATCTGTTGTATGTCCAATATTTTCCGGAGCATCCTGTGCAGCAATCCCGCTCCGCCTACATTCCTGATAATCAATGTCTTCCTAGAATGCCTCTACACATTTCCGGAAGCATCTATTTTGGTCACCGGCGTGGCCAAGTCTAAATATCAATGAACTTCTAATGCCCCCTATATTTAGATCGGAGATAATTTCGAACACTTTCTACTAATGTCTACGGGGCCGTCAAAAGGCAGCTGTTAGTTTGTGTTTCATTATAATTTAACCATTGAACACTTATTATTCGTGGGTCATAAAAATCCCTAAATTAATTGCGGTCTCAACTTTGCCCTTAAATTACTTTTATCTTTTTCTTTCTAATTCCTAACACGTGTTTCGTACATTTCAGTTTATGTTTGTTTTATATAATATTTAAAAAACTAATTATTCTCGATGCTAATTACGTGTCAGTAGCCCGTGTCGAAGTTCGTGCGGACTTTTTTAGTTTCATAAATTTTACAGTTCCTCTTCGTATAAAGTTTATTAATATTAGCGAACGGATATGAGAACCTTGATCGGAGTCTGTCGATAGTTAAAAGACATCGCATAATATATGCAGCCCAGCTAACGGCGCTGGACAAG